GAATGAAGGGTCCCCACCAGTAAGATGGCAAACTTCCGGCTTCTCTTCAGGGTCCTCAGTTCCCGCCGGCGCCACCTGAAGCCCAATCACCTCTCGCCCCCCTCCCAATCCCAGCACCTAGCCAACAGCCACCAGCCCCGTAGAAGTAACACCACAATCACCCTATGCCCCATCCTATATAACCCAGTACCTTTCCCTAATAAAGCGGAACTCTCCGGTGAATTGCTGTTGTGTGTCGCTCCTTTCCTTTCATTCCCACCCCACCCCTACCCGCTATAGTACATTTAGAGAATGGATTGGTTTATAGAAAGAGAAATATTATGCTGATATCACACAAGAAACCTTGTAGGAAGCATTTTGTCTTAAAAATCAAAGGGAAACAGACATGGAAAAAGTCTCAGAATTAAGAGTAAATCATTAAGCCTATAAATGGTTTCTCCTCTTCATATCTGTATATAGCATTTCTCCTTAATCCTTCCTTCCCTAGTTTCTGGCCCTGAGCTGGGAGTATAACAAACAGGACCGGTTTTCTGCCTTCTGGGACTTCACAAGTAATTGGAGTTTATTATCATCACAAAACAGACTTGGAGCACAGCTTCTTAAGCAGGATCACAGCGGAAGCGGAAGCGTCCCTCAGTCACCTGCCCACTATGTGCCATGTTGACAAAGTATGCTAAGCAAAGAGGGAAATACCTGGGGTGGGTGGGCCTGAGGGGAGAGAGGAAGGAATAATCAGAAGGGCTTCAGAGAGGAGGTGATATTGAAGTTGAGATTTAAAGAATGAATACGAGTGTACTATGCTGTTACACTTTCAACAGATTCTCATACTCAACAATCCAGGATTAAGTAAAAAGCATGGAAAAGCAAGTTTATATCAGAGATTTTTGCTTTCAGGATAAGCAGAAGGGTTCAGCATATATTTCACCCAGGCAGGGATGCTTCCTTTCACAGGCTCTCCATCCTGCAATTGGTTATTCCCACTTGGACTTCTGCCCTTTGAGGTGCTGTAAGGTCCCATGTCTCCATCTGTAACGGAGATAAGAAAGTGAACTAACATTGTGCAGAAAGGTTTTCTAAGTTGAGCCAAAAAGATTTTGACTCCGTTCACAATTAACTAGAAACCTCCACCGGCCACAACGTCCCATTCCCGGGAGCGGCTGGCTAACAGGTTTAGCTGCACCTGTGTTTTTGTTTTGCCGTCTTCCTGCCGTTTTCTCCAAGGCCCTTCCTTTCGCTCGGGGTTCCGGCGCTCCTGCCTCGGCGGCAGCACTTTCTCCTCCTCCCCGTCCTCTCCGCCCCGCCTCCGGCGTCAGCGCCCGACTCGGCGGAGCCGCGGGGGCCGGTGGGAGGGAAGCCGCGGCCGGGACGCCCAGGGAGGCGCGCTCTGCTCACTCTCCGGGCGGGAAGGGACACCCAGTTCCTCCTCGGCTGACCGCTCTCACGGGAGCTGTTTTCGTGGAAGGGGCCATAATCCCAGAGCCCAAATCGAGTGTAAGAAGCAATGCACGGGCGGTGGCCGGTCAGAGATTTACGCTGCTGCGCGAGGAGACGGGAACTCTGACGAGACACAGCCGGCCGAGGGAGGGGGCGGGAAGATTCAGCCCCGGGAGGAGGAGGAGGGGGGGGACGGGGCCTTTAAATAGCAGGTGGCTTCACCGTTTCTATAAATGAAAACGGTTCGTTTGCACCGAACACTGATTACGAAAATGGTCTTTTATTAGACAGCTGCCTCACCCCGCAGGGCAGCCCCGAGGCTCTCGCCCGGGGACCCGCCTGGCAGCTGATGGGTGCGGTTGACTGTTCCTTGCCACCAAGCGCCCGGAGTGTTATTTCTTTCTGCTCAAGGACTCGGCGCAGGCTTGGAATAAGAGACCCGTGGGGGTAAAATGACAGTAAGAAGCCAGGGTTTTACTTCAAACACTGCCAGATTTAATTATTCTTGCCATTTATGTATTTATCTGAGAGTTGTTAGTCCTTTCAAGGAGACTGAAGAAGAGACACACATGCTCTACCCTGAGGGATGGGAGGCTGGGATGAGGCAGGGCTTGTAAAGGTACTGGCAAGTCTTCTCTCTAGAAAGGGAGAGCTGACTGGACTTGCTCTCTCCTCTCTTTGATTAACTGAAAAATCCCTTCTGAATGGCAGAATGAAGTGGGCCGGAGACCAAGGAGCATTCACCTCTGAGTATATCACCTGCCTTCCAGCCTCCTTACTTTAGGAAGCTGAATACAATGTCTCATAGCAAGGTGCCAGTGTCCCGGCCATTTGCTGCTTCCTGGGAAAACATGGCAGCCCAAGTGGCTGAGAAATCACAGTTGAGGATGAATCAAAACTTCCTGGCCAGCTCCTCACACTAAACCAGGGATCCACTATTACGTCCCCAGAAGGGGTGAATAGTAACAACAAATGTTTATTGAGCACATGCTATGTGCCAGGCACTGTGCCAAAAGTTTTATATCTGTTATATCGTTTAACACTAACAACTCCATGAAGTAAATTCTGTCTTCAGATGCAGTTGCCATGAAGACAGTAAAGAACTTGCAGGAACTCAGCTGGTGAGTGGCAGAGCCAGGATTCAAACCCAGCTTGGTCAGAAGCCTAGTGCTCTTAACTACCACCTTTACCACTTCACTTCATACTGTGTTGTGAAGGAGTTCAGAACACAGCACCCTAAAATACACCACTCTGGCATATTGACTACTTTGAGGTAAACATACCTGAAAAACAGCAAATACAAGGAAAACCCCTTGACCATTTTTCTTTTTCTTAAAAGCAGGAGATGAAATCCCCATATGAAAGATGTGTTCCCTCTGCCAGAAGGAAAGTAACATTCATATCAATGATAAATTGAGGTTGACAGAATTCTATGCAAACAGATCTTGTTAAAATAATTCTTCTCTTCCTTTCATCTCCCAACATAGTTTAGTCACTTTTTCACAGTTGTTCTTTGTTCAACCTAATACAAAAGCAAATAGGTTTCACCATTTCCTTGAGTCTTTATTTTCTTATGAAGGCTCCCGTTTCACATAAAACTTGTATTAAATAAAACTGTGTGTTGTTTTCCTGTTGATCTCTCTTATGTTGATTTAATTCTCAGGCCCCGCCAAAAAGAACCCTAAGACAGTAAAGGGAAAAGTTTGCCTCCCCTACAACCGCTCCCTTCCAAATCCACCTTGTTCCCCTGTTCTCATTTTATCTCCTCATCCTTCTCCCCAGACTGTCCCATGGATGTGTGGCATAGCAGTGTTGTTTCTTGCTGCAAATGTCACATTTCCTTGGCATGGGACTTCCTGCTAAGATATCTCAGGGATATTACTACTTGGAAAAATGCAGGTAGAATTTGCATGCAATCTATCTGTTAGGCAATGAAAAGAGCTGCTTAAAAGCTACCTGATGGAACTACCTTCTTTAGAAAGCTAAGAGGATGAAGAGGCCATAAATGGAGTCAAGACTCCTTCTCATGTAAGCCCCTCCAGGAGAGTATGTGTCAAGAGGCACACCACTCAAGAAGTATCTTATAAAATGAAGGCCTCTCTCAAGCGTACATTTTGTAAAGCCATTTCAGCTGAGGGAAGAAAATTGATTTCTCAACATGGAAAGATAGTTTTGACAGCAGCCCTGGAAAAAACACTGGGTCCTGGACACGTAATCAAATAAATCAACTTGGAGGCTCAGCTGGATTCCTCAAGCAAAGAATGTGTAGCTTCTCAAAACTTTCTTCTCCCCCTCTGAGAGACAGTAGGCAGACAGAGACCCAAATGTTCCAGGAGCAGGGTTCGCAGGCATCTTGCAGAGTGTCCATTCCTGAGGGGGAGCAAATAGCATCACATTCACTTACCAAATGGTGGGTTTTGGAAGACAGGGGCTGGCTGTTCCCCAAGCCCTCTCCTGATCACCCAGCTTTGGCTTGGGGACTAGGGTAGAGGCTGCTGTTCTAAGAAAAGCATTCACCCTTTGGTTGCAAAACATCTCCAAGTGATGGATGAACCAGTCCAAGGGAAGAAGAAATAACCAGTCCCTGAAATACAGCCACCTCTAGAAGAAAATATTTCACTCTTTCAGGAAGCCCCAAGCCACATGGATATTAATTAGAACAGGAATGAAAGAGGTTCAGATTCAGTTACAGTTGTAGGGACTGGAGACAGGCTAACAGAGAAGTCATGGTCCCATGTAACAAGAGGAGAAAATTATTCACAATGAACTGTCATCTTTGTTTACTCCTTTGGCTAATGTCCCTAGCTCCCAATCTAGCCCTCAACAGGAGCCATAACTCTTTCTCAGCAGATGGCATCTGCCAGGCTTAGGCCCTACAGTCTGCAGGTAGAAAGGTCACAGACCATGTCAGCCCAGGGCACCCTGCTGGCTCAGGGCAGAGCTGAGTTCAGAGATGGCCTCCTGGGGGAGCTACCAACCTTGTTTGGGCCAGATCGCTGAACCTCTCTGGGCCTTTGAATCTTCTTATATAAAAGGCACACACACACACATCAGACTAGATATATATTTTCACAACTTCATTAGGAGTAGAATATTTTTAGACTATATTATAGTCTAGTCCATAGTCTAAATTTTAGTCTATTTTATAGACTAAACATTACAAGATACTCAATCACAAATAAAACAGATATAAAAGGAGCTTCTTCAAGACTAATATAACATGATGGTAGGGAGTTTTATCATTCAAATTTCAGCTGTGCCACATACTAGTTGTATGACTTTGTACATGTTATTTACCAACCCTTAGTTTTCTCCATAAAATAGAGATTATCATTATGTCTACATCATAGAGTTAGTGTAAGGATTAATGAGATGATACAGGTATAGCACCTGCACTGAGGGGTTTGATAAGCATTATCAGATGGTAGCCAGGTAGGGGGTGGCTCGAGTTTCACACTATCAGTCTTTCCCCCACCTTCTTACTGCATCTTTCCACTGCTCTATAGGAGTGTTTCGAGAACTCAGGGCTCCTTGGGGCCCAGCCTGAAAACCATGGCATAGATGAGTGTTCTGAGATCAAAGGCACTTGAGGTGCTCATCAGATATCCAGGTGACCAAGCTTTAGGAGGCATGGCTCTGTGCTTCACAGGCATACAGGGTGCTTCTGATCTTCAGACTATTCTGGGGAATACAGCAGAGGTTCTTGAAAGCCCCTTCAGCTCTAGTAGGCCAGCATTGCATCTCTTCTGTGCCTCAGTCAGGGCCAGGACCCACCCCCAGATAACCCCTAGGGGCTTGAGGCCACTCAGATCTGGCTGTGGGGGAAACGGCCTGCACCTGGCTCTGCGGAGGCTGCTGGAACGGCAGGGGCTCGCCCTCCAGTGGACCTCCTGGGCTCTGGATGCTGCTCTCATGCTAAACCCACTGCCCCGCCTGTCCTTTCAGCCTCAGCTGACTTTCCTGGCCCTCGGAACTAGGGTCTCTGCTTGCCCTCCCCTTGGCCTGCCTTGGTCTGTTAGTGCCGGCATCCTGGTGGGACAATTTCACGGGTGGAATCAGAATGTGCTGGAGTAAGAAATCTAAAGAGATGCTATTTTCTGCCTAATCTGTTTTCTCCCCATGGGTCAATTTAGCTGTACTCTTATTTGAAATAAAAGAATCTAGAAACAAATGAGCAAACACCTTATTATTGAGAACCATCTGCAGAAAATCCCATGGAGCTGCTCCAAGGTCAAAGCTTATCTGTTCTGCTTCAAACGCAAAATAGCCAGCAGGCAGGCAGGATGGGAAATGACAGAATCATGAGAAGTTTGGGTAAAAGCAAGCATCTTCTTTTCAATTGAATGCAAAAGTATGAGTTCTTTCTGCAACCCAAATCTTGAAACTAAGAACATTTGTGTATTTCATGGAACCAACGATGAGTTGGCTGAGTTGGTCAGGAAAAATCAACAGCAGCCCTGAGACTCATATTTGGCTCTTTCCTTCTCTTTGATCCCAGATTTTAATTTTTTAAAAAGTGCCATCTGTTCTTTCTGTAACTTTCACATTGAAGGAAAATAATTTCAATTCTGGAAATTGCGTATTTCCTCTCTATCCCCCAGCCTGATTCCCTCTTTCTGCATAGGTGAAGGCCAAGGAGGGAGTCAGAATTGAGTATCTGTTAATACTGTGTGTGACTAACTCCCATCAGGAAAGGACAGCCCTATGATGCCAGGCTATTAAGCAGTGTTATGAGTAAGACACACACTGGGATTTGTCTTAGGTTGTCTATAAACTGTTCTGTGATGATGGAAATGTTCTATATCTGCACTGCTCACCAGAGTAGCACTAGCCACATACGGCTAGTGAGCTCTTGAAATGTGGCTAGTGGAACTGAGAAACAGAATTTTTAAGTTTATTTCACTTAGATTAATTTAAATCTAAATCTAAGGTTAAGTAATTAAGTATGTGACAAAGTTAAGGGGACTAGTTACGTGTATTGGGAGAGGCCCCAGGGACGTGAGCAGTGCTAGGATCCTACAGCAGCAGGCTTTGAGCCCTTCCCTCCTCTCTTGGTCTTCTTTTGTCCCGTGGTCCTCCCAATCACCACCAGCCACTGCCTGAGGAGTTCATGAAGCAGTTTTCTCTAGCATATGGCCATAAGGCTCTTTTTTTTTTTTTTTTAATGATTGTAGCTTCCAGCTACTGTTGTTATATGAACTATCCTAGTCTCGCTGTATTCTTCAAAATTTTTAGCATAAAAAGTTACTTTCATCTAGGATGCTAATTGCAATCCAAACTACTAAGCATTTTTGTGAGAAGGAATGTGAGGTCAACTTCTAGCTCACATCCGTTAGCAATGTCTGCCATGGCTGCTGGCACATGGGAAGTGATGGGACTGGTTCTTGGGTTTGCCAACCTCACAGTCAATCTTGCAGTAGCTTTGCTTAGCTACTACAAACTAGTGAACTAATAAACTTGTATGTACCCAGTATATTCTATTCAGGTACTTTGGGGCCCATACAGTTTGACTTATTTTCCAACAGCCTCTTGTATTCTTTCTCTCTCTTTTCCCCCTAATGTTTGTCTCCCTTTCCAAACCACCACCAAACTCCTGACCCCAGTATCTGTGAAATTTTTAAGTCTCTTGGAAAGATACTACTAAAATATATAAATAATTCATATAAAGTTAATGTGTCATTTAAAAAGATGAAACAAGGCCAGCCAGATTGAATTAGGGAAGGGAAATAATGCTCCCCACAAGTCTGCCACTCTGGGCTAAAAAAAGAAAATAAAGCAACCAATTACTAGTTTTCTCCAACTCAGTGTTATACAGGGCTTTTAAAAAGTGCTCAGTCATCAATGATGTCACTTGATATTCATAACTGACATGCAAAGGACTCAAGTGGCCTGGTGTGAGCTGCCAGGGCCCTCCCCGAAATACGGGTGACTTACAGGTGCATTTATAAGGTTATTACTGGGTTACCATGGTTCACAGGACTTCTCTGTTACCAACAGGCTAGTCAGGCTTGGAGAAATAAGGTTACACAGCAGTAAACAGAAACATGAACGTCTGAAATTAATTTAAAATGTAATCCAACCCCTTTCAGAGGCTCTTATCTGCTGCTGCTTGGCTGTGAGGTTGGAACTGCAGACCGACCTGAGGCAGAAGAAAGCGAGCTGAGAAAGTAAAACAGAACACAGCCCTTAGGTAAAATGCCCACTTGCTTGCAGAAATAATATCTCTTCATAGAGAATTTAAAAAAAAACCCAAAACACCTGGGTGTCTTAGTAATGGATAAAGAGGAGACCCTGGAGGAACAAACATGCCCAAATACATTTTTTGGCTTTCAGACTGGTGGAAAGTAAGTCACAGCAATGGAAACCTCACTGACTGGGCCTGGTGCCATCTGTGCCCGGCAAGGCCAGGACTCCTGTCCTCATTGCTTCCACAGAGACTTGCAGGCCTCCAAACACAAGATACTCCACAAATACTCATTCGTTGACTACCTAATTTAAAACTGATGGGTTTACATTTTTCAAGGAAATTTGGCAAAGGAAACCAAGTAACTATTTGGTTTCTCTTTAGGTTATACTTTATTCTGCACAATTTTGAACCAAAACAGTAAAAACATATAATTATGGGATAGTTTTAGCAACTTTACAGAAGATGAACTTTGGCCGCTGTATTTATGTTCTGATGCAGAAGACATCAAAGAGACGTATTAGTGAATATTCTAGACATTTTATCCTCAATCCATATTTGATCTCCTCTTCACCCATTTCTGTATCTTCTATTCCTGTGAGAGTGGGGGTTGGGTGGGGACAAGGCAGGATCTAAGGCTGTTGCCTCTGATGCACCGTTGTAGTGGCTCCTTTTCTTCAGGCCTCTCATATATTAGATATGGTGAATTAAGGAGCTAAGAGAAATACAGTCAGAGTTGGACCAAGCCTGGAGCCTAGAGGGTGACATCTAGGACCAGGAGCGGAAGAAGACCTCTTGACTTTCTGCCACCTGGCTCTTCACCTCCAAAGTAAATGGCACCCCTTGAAGTGGAGGCCAGTTCCCAGGAGAAGCAGGAGCAGGCCAGAACCTGTGTCCACAGGAGCTTATTGCCTGCTGTTCGCTCCTCACCACTGTTAGCTTTCACCTGACTCTATATTTTAAAACTCTACATTTTCACTTTACCCTACATATTTTCTCCTTTTTTGTTTGGTAGTGTTTACAAACCCTACGTTCTTAATAGCTTCACTCACTAACATGTTTTTGACTTTTCACTTCATGGCTTTTTGGGTTTTATTTTAATCATGTATAGCTTTTCTTTTTTATGTTTTTAATTTCTTATTGGTGTTCAGCCATTTGTCTTAATTTTAAATCTCATCTAGTTGTA